CCCACACCCACACCCTCAACCAAATTTATCAGTTCAATCTTTGAGACAATTAATACAAAAACCTGAGAGATGATGTATTCATCATGAATTATCGGAAAATTTTCAATGCAAATGATACGTTTTGTAACCATTGAAATTGAAACCAAATTTGTTTTTGTATATTCATTTTATAAGGTCACAAAAGTGAGCTCCAAATTTCGTAAACTCTAAATTTCGTGCTCACTTCACGCCAGCTCATACTTTACCAATTATTGCCAGTCCACATTTTCTACTATCTAGGATATATACATGAGTCCTTTTTTCATCACGACAATATATTTTCACCTTTTTGATAATTAATTGTCATCTCCATGTATTCAATTACTTCATCATATAACTCTTCGTCATCTATCAATGAATTTTGAGTAGAAACGAGTTTCATGAGTAAACTAGTATCATTTTCTATTGCTATGACTTGTTTTCACATACAGTAAATTGCTCAATCATGACTGAAATAGTTTTCATTTCTATACTGTTATAAAAGTTAACAATTTGAAAAACTAAAAAATATTTTGAAATGTCGATAGTGGTGATCCGACGGGACAAGAGAAGTGTCGGAGATGTAACATTCCCTCAATAATTGGAAGTTTTTATCATTTTTACCAGTTAAATGGTCAAGAATCAAACATGAACTAGGAATTTACTAAAAATTTCCCCAAAAGAAAACTCAATTAAATCATCTATTATTGAACAAGATACAAACACTTACATGAAAATTTTCTTGTTCGCGAAAAAGCAATAACTTAAGAATGTAACGGTCTTCTGTAGAAAAAACATTTTAACAAACATATAGATTACATTTGACGAGAGTTTAGCTTTTGGAAAGCAACAATGCAGAAGCGGGATTTTTACCGATCAACAAAGAATTTCTGCTTTGGTAAATAAAATCTATTGGAAAAGCATAACTAGATTTTAAAGACTTAAAATTTAATTCTAAGACGCTTTTGAATAATTCTACTTTCTACAAAATATAACTTTGATCAATAATCGCTGGCGTAAACACTTTCGGCATTAGAAATATCGAGAAATTCTTTTGACTCTCATGCGAAGATGTTTTTTCTTGTTCAAAATGAACAAAGGTAAAATCGAGTTTTTTCAATTTTATATATTATTTCTGAGTCGAAAAGATTTGTTACATTATAATTAACGAAAGAAGTTTCATACTAACTGTGTTAAAAATAGTGTGGATCTATTTCTTAATCTAAATTAGCTCAAAACATTCGTATATGTCTCTTTTACGTATCCATTTCTCTGTCTTTATACCTTTTTGTGCTTTTTCATTTTTCTTAATGTTTGCTTCCTTTACATGATAATATTTATTAAACTGTATTGCCTTTTGCAGAAAAAACACACAAGAAGTAGCAAGAATCTGATTATTCTATTAAATATATACTAACTAAATCAACAATGTTTTACATCCTCCAACGTTTGAAGAGTCGAACCACTACTAAACATCGAGATCTTATTCATTACCGGATATGATTTTCTACTCAGACGCAAAGCAATTCCACGAGTGTGCATCTGAATTTACGGTCTGGGTCAGATCAGGTGCCTAATATCTGATTCTGGTATTGGACACAAGCAGTAGTCACAAAAAAAGCGGATCACACGTTAGATTTGATTACTTCATTGAAAATATTTCTTAGACATGTAGCCTTAGCGACTAACGGTAAAAGCTTCCGAAATTTTTCAATTGATTTGACTCGAGTTTTCGGTACAGTTCTTCTTCACTTGTCACAAAGAAGTACTACTGCAAATCAATGGCAACATAGGGCCCAACATCCAGTGATACAACACGAAAACGTTACTATTTGCCATCGAATTCGGTGAAGCAGTTTGAAGTTTATATGAGAATTTCGATACAGTGCAGGAATTTATCGCTTTGATGTCACGAGAAACAAATCTTTGAACATATCCAAGCCTTGTGGCTTCGCCACCTATGTTTATAATATCATTACACCTTAACTATTACGTAAAAACGATTTATCATGCTGAAATTGTTTTTATCAACAAAAGCAAACATTAGTAGAACATAAAGTTAAGAGAGACAGATTCAATGACTTATAAAAAATATTTATTAAATCGTGCAATTACTAATTTGAAGAGAATTCTCTATCGAGACATCTTTTATAAAGTGGCGCCATCTTTTCGTATTGCGTTGAGATTTTTTGAAGTCTTAAACAATTACGATGCACGGTAAGATTGGTGTCCTGTTTTTACAATAATTAAATATGGACTTGGTCAAAGTTCTTATTTGTCAGATGAGCTTTGAAAAAAAGGAACAACGATTCAAAAAAGAAACGATAATGTATTATAAATCTAAAAAGAAAAACAAAGAAATCAATTTTCTATTTTTTTTAGATTCTCACATGGCATGGATGAATTTCATAAATCATATTCAATAAAAAATCAAGATCCAAGAATTATATTTAATGAAAATTCTTTAACAACAACTTATGAATATCATAATGGACATTCAGCAGAAGAATTTGTTAAATATTTTTCAATTGATGATGATGATATTGTTCGATTAGATCAAACACAAATAATACAATATGAAGTAAAATGTATTCTAAATCATCTTATAGATAATATTATTATTCAAGAAAATAATCAATGTCAGATTAAAAATATACAACATAAACGTTCATTAGAATTAAATAATGATGAATATATAATTAGAAAAAAAGTCAGATTTAATCTACCTAATGATGAACAACAGTCATTAACATGTTTATTTGTTTCGGAAACTCTTCCGTTAACAAATCAATTAAAACCATATACAAAATTTTTATATCATCTTGGTTTAGATCTTTGTTTAAATGAAAATCTTAATGAAAATAATTATCTTTCTGAAACTCAAAAAAATTTATTAATTAAGCAAAATGAAGTTTTTTATCATAATCAAATGTATTCATGTAAATATTGTTCATTTAAAACTAATACAATACATGTTATGGATCGTCATTATCGAACACCACATACTATATCGAATTCAATAAATCATCATAAAAGATATCGTTGTACATATTGTTCATTTCAAACATTTCGTTTACCTGAACTTCGTCGTCATGTAGAACGAAAACATGGTCATATATTAATAACTGAACCATCTTTACGACGTTATCGATGTTGTTATTGTTCATATGGAACTGATGATAAAAATAAGTTTCTTAAGCATAATAATTGTTGTCAAATTGAACAAGAACGTACACGTATTGCTAATAATTTACTTCAACCATTTGATCAATTCAATAATAATATAAATCAACTGATGTAAGTTATAATGAATGGAATATTAAAGAATAAACATCTTATAAATTTTGATGACGAAAATAGATATGTCTACAATCCATAACTTCAAAAAGAAAAAGCTTTTTATCTATTTTTTTTTCTCTAAGAACTCTCAACTCTTGAGTAAGATTTTTTCCGGTCTCTCAATTAGTTTGAACTAACAAATGATAAAAATATTTCACGTGATAAACACCGAGAAACTACCGGTAGTCATTTTTTGAAAGTGTTGTAACAAAACGAGTGAATATTTTTGAAGTTTGTTAAAATTGACAGATCTGAGCCGTCTTCGATGTATTTTGATAATCTATATGCATCTGTACTAGCCATAGAACACTAATTGGCTCTAGTTACCACATACTTTTTTTATTATAGTTGACGTTACAAAAATTTTCATTAGTAATATAACTGTTCTCTTTTCAGTTCATTTGAATTATTTCATATAAATGATTTACATTTGAGTGAGAAACACTCCTTTATACTCTATAGTTATAATCGAAAGTCATAGACATTATCGCCAGTTCTTATGAATACCGCAGTATACCGACGATAGTACACATAAACTTGCGACCTAGAATATCACTAATAAAGTGTTGTAAAAGTTTCAAACTCGAGTTATTTGTCTCTGAATAAATATTATTGTTGATATACGTTAATGCTGTTATCATTCATATATGAAAACGCGCGTGTGATTTTAGCCCAACTTATACACTGTTGCAGGAGTCAATACATTACAGAAAAGTTTTGAACTTTAGTCATATCTAATTTGTCGTCGAATCAATTGAAATATGTAAAATTGTAGAAAACTAAAAGATGTATCCTTGACGAAAACAATTCCTTCTTCATGCTTTTAATACTGTCGACATGTACACAAAATACTGAGAAAAGAGAACCTCGTCCATTGATAAATCGATTTTAACCTAGAACTCTATTCAATCGATAGAGCTTACTGATTGGGTCAATATCCTAGCGTAGTTCGTGTTGGTGGCTCTGTTTTCAAGGCAAACTATATTTTTGAATTTTGACTTGAAATATTTTATACAAGCGCTTCGGCTAGACTAGTTTGTAGAAAAAAATTCAGAATTGAATTTTCCGAAGAAAAACAATCACGAAAAATACATTGAAAAATTCGATATTTCAGCAACACAAATCACTGTAATGTATCGACTTTCTCAGTAGATCCTATAGATTGAATCTAGTCCTACCTTAACAGCGATTTATGATTTAGTAAGGCTCTCTCGTGAGAAAGTTCATTTTTTTATTATCTATCCGTTAGATAAAATAACAAAACTTATTTGTCTATATTTTATTTAGAGCTACGACGAAAACAAAATCTATTGAAAATAATAAAAAGAAACAGACAACAGTAAGAAGAAAAACAAAGAAATTTTGTTTTCTTTTATGAATTATAATAATATCTTTTTAGAAAAACTCTTCATCCATATTTCCTTCAAATACAACAAATATGGCCAATAATAATCAAATAAATGAGCCAATACTTATTGAATCTGATCATGATACATCGTCGTTATCAGGATCATCATCATCGGATGAAGATTTTATTGTATCATCAGATGAAGAAAGTTCATCTGATGAACTTGATGATGATAAAAATGATCGAGATTTTGAAATTCCATCATCATCTCGTTCGAAAAAAACACAAAAAACAACTTATAAATCAACAACATCATTAATATCACAATCATATCCAATAAATCCAAACCCAACAACAACAACTGTAACTAATCTTTCATCTTTATCAAAATTATTATTATTAAATGGAACATCTATAACAACATTTACAACATCATCAATCAATTCTATTAAACCTCCATTAATACCAATACAACCCAAACCTACAAATGGAAATGATATTTATCAAGTAAATTTTTCGAAAATAAAATAATAATTATTGATTTATTTATTTATTTTAGATGTGTAATATTTGTCAATGTTATGTTTATAAAAAAGATTATATTAAACATATGAAAGAAAAACATAACAGTCAAACAAGTCCAACTCAACAAACAATTTCAACACCATTAACTATATTAAATAATACACCAAATAATGTCAATACATCAGTAACATGTTTAACACCAGCTTTAATTGTTACTAAAACAATACCACAACCACCATCAGCTATTTTTCTTTTATCAACATCAACTATGGATCCACAATCAATTAAATTAGATATGATTAAATGTCCATGGTGTGATACTAATTTTGAACATATTGATGTTATGACTGGACATTTAATGAGGTAAATTTCAATAAAAATTTTGTAAATAAGTTTCGAAAATATTAGAAAGATATTCTTATTAACAAGTGAGGTTAGACGAGTCATTTAAAGAGTTCTATAGACATTTTTATAGCTAAAATGTTTCGATGTAATTTAACTGGCATCCAGTCTAGATTACAAACTGATATATAGCAATAAGTTATGTTAGCGTCATAGACTCGAACTGCTAGTCAATTTTTTTTCCAGTGATAAGGTTGAATTTATGAAGCTCATATAATCTATTTCTATACATGGTTTAATAACACAGACTCATCCAATCCTGTTAACCATTAACATAAAAAGAAGTTTATATGCTAGTCAAAAGGTTTGATTCCGTAGTAGGATTATTGATTAAAGAGGTATGGTGTCAGCTTTCCTTTCGAACATTCTAGAAAATGTTTTACAAGCTCAGCAGTTTTAACTTTGCCTTTGATAGGTATTCATACGAAGGCATTTTCTGTCGAATTTATTCAAAAAATATGTTTGGTCTAAATCGAAAAAAAAATATTCTTCCTATCATCTATTTTTTTATCAGCGAAAATTTTTACAATTGATATCTTCGCACATTTTTTTTTCGAAGCATTACAACATTATTATAATCATGTGTTTGTTTTTTTTTCAACTGATAAGACAGTGTTTGACCAGTACTCAAGTAGAATTTTTTTTTTCATATGCAGATTTCAATATGTGTTTATAGATAAGCATTTAAGTTATATACATATTCAAAGTAGCTCACATGCTGAACTCACGAATGAGTACACTTGAAACGATCAACTAGAATAAAATAATAAAAGCTTTTCTGCTCAAGATAGAAGAATGCTTCTTGTCATTGAGGATGTTTGAATATATTTCCTTTTTTTGCATCTATCTGTTTTAGATTTAGTTATTTGAGCGATGAATTGTTTTGAGTGTTAAACTGAAGAAAAAACAATGAAAAGCACGTATAAAATATGATTAAAATTAGTTTCATGCACCACAGATATTATTTTCATAGTTGTGAAAGGTGACCTCATCAAACGAAGTATTACTTTCGCTAGGTTGCGAGAAGGGCATACGTTTGTTGTTAATCTGTGCAACATGTACTGTTTTTTATGCAGTATTTCATTCGTAATCACTGTTAAACGTACATGAGTTCCTCAAAAGACTTCAAAATGTACCCATAGCAGTTTCTGACATGGATCAAACTGTGTGGCCCGACTTGAGGTCAACTAGATTCTTTTGTGACTCAATTTCAGTTAGTCTCTATTTCAAAGTACTTCATTTTTCTGCCCTACATATTCAAGTTCGTCATGCACATGAAAAGAAAAGTTTGATCAGAGTAGACAAATTATTTTCTGATGGTACAGTAAATATGGCAAGAATGTCTCATTACGTTTTCCATTTATTTAAATACTTCATTCATGAATGTTTTCATTTGGTGTACAACACCCACATACTAATTTTTCGAATGTAATGATGTCGATCAAAATGTTATTCTTCTTTAAATTGAAGATGTGCTAAAAAAACAATAACAAATATAGAATATTGATTTAAAATAAGAATAAAAAACAGACAAATAGATCTTATCAAATAAGTATAATAGAAAGATAATATTTATTTTTTTGTTCCTTCAATAAATTTGATCAAATTAATTCGTAATAAGAAGATGTTTTTATTTGATTTGATTGATTAAAATTTAAAGATAAATATTTCTTGAAATTAAATTTAGATGTCATCGTATGACATTAGCTGCTGCTAAAGTTGTAGTTGCTGAACAGATGAAAATTCAAGGTACATCATCTAGTCAATTATCATTAATGTTTAAACAAGAAATAGAACAAATACAAAAAGAATTTGCTGATAAAATCTATTGGAAAATTTCTCAACCAAAAGTATATTTACATAGAATAGATAATTGTAAGTTTAGAAGAAAGAAACAAAAAAAATATATATATAAACAAAATTCATTTTTATTTTGTTTTAATTTCTTTTAAAGTATCATGTTTTGTTTGTAAAAAAAATATTGATGATATTGAAAATCATTTAATGTCATCACATCAAATACAATTAATAACAATGAATAAAATCAAACAATGTTGTTTATGTGGTGTTCATTGTAATAAAAAAAATACAAGTTTATTTGAACACCAATTACGTACACATTCAGGTGTTTGTTATTCATCTACACTTAAACAATTTATTCGTTTCGAACCACCACCTCCACCATTATCAAGAACCATTATAGCAAAAGATAATAATCGATTAATATTACCATCATCATCATCATCATCATCATCGAATAAACGAACATTAACAACTGATACAGAAAAAGTAAAGAAGAATTTAAACAAAAATAATTAACTTTTTGTGTTTTTAAATAGAAATTTGGTTGCCGAAAATGTGATACAAGTAGTCGTTTATTTACATTTGAAGAACTAGTTGAACATTTACGTTTAAGTCACAAACTTATTGTCAAATTACATCGTCGTTGTCTAATATGTCAACAAACATATCCTAAAGGAAAAGAATATAATCAACATTGTTTAGAACATTTAAATGATGAAAATCCCTCAATAGATATTAAACGATATTATATGAAATTATAAAAAACAAAACAAAAAAAAAGGGAATTGTATTTCATTTCCATTCACTCCCATTTATGTGTGATTATTAATTGTTGTATTTTGAAAAGTATGTGAAATATTGAAATTGAAACATTTTTTTTTCTTTCATTCTTTGTTTCCCTACAATTGTGTTATAGTCAATGAGTAAACTTTTGTTTCTTTGTTAAAAGGAGAAAAAAAACAACAAAATAATATGAAATTCATTTTATTATTTTTCTTCTTCTTTTTCTTTTCTTGTTCAAATAAAAAAAACATAAAAAAACAAAAAATTATCTACGTCAATTTGACGTTTATTTCTCAGTTTTAATAAAATCTTCGAGAGATTATAACACTTACTTATTGATAAACGTCGTCATAAGGGTGTGGCTACGTAGACGCAAAGTACTATGATCAAACATAGGTACTATAAGTTATGAAATGACCCTGGGCAAGTCACTAACGGCTATTCGTCTCAGATAGAGCCCATTCGACCCAAAATTTGTGGACCTGGCCGAATCGTACTTTGGTACTCTAAATGAAATTTCTTTATCGGAAGTAAATAGTTGCTCGGAAGATGCAGGATTGTGACTAGTACATCATTTACATCTCTCAGATGACTTGTGCTCGTGGGGTCCGAATCCGGAAGTAATTCGATGCGCTCTAGTCTAGAACTACTCGTCCAATAATAGTATGATGACTATATTGTGACAAATATCTTGTACTGTGTGAAACATTATTGGGAAAAATTCAATTCAATCTCTATAGATTAGAAAAAGTATACTTTGAATATGGTTTATGATGCGAAAGTTTTGGCACAAAATATTCGCACAATTTTTAGCATACAATAGACTACTAGTTGAAACTAAAAGCAATTAGTTAGAAATAGACTTTTTCGTTATTTCCGACTATGAATTTTGATTTTCCTTTCGAAGTAGTTATGCAAAAGTCTAAACTGGATCTGTAAAAAAGTAAAGTAGCGATTTCGGCGCAGTTCTTAGTTTGGACCTTAGAACAACTTTAATTCAAGATTATTCTAGGGCGCTGAAATCTGTACACTGCGGAATATTACAATAAGTGAAATGTTATCTATGGACTTTCACTTGGTACTTTAAACTGAGTCATTAAATACACTTTCGCATTTTGAGTTTGATAGGTTTCCATCAAAATACAAAATCAATCAAAATAGTATTCTGTACAGTCACTATTTTAAAACAATCTTAGGATAATTATCTGATCCCATCCGCAAAAATGAGTGAATATATTGTTCACAGACTTTTACGTTAGAGATTAGGAATATGATTTAAAGTGTTATACTTAAACATGGCTCCGAATAGGATGAGATCGCATGAAACGATTGATCATGCATGAAGATTTTTTTAAGTCTTGAATTTGCTCTCATGACTTTCTTATTCTATCATCTAAATTTCCTCTCTCTGTTCTCGTCTAATTTAGTTGGTTTGATAATTAAATTTTCATACTACTCACATGATGTTGATCTAGAGTTTTAAGATCTTATTGAACTTCAATGAATACGATAGTGAATTCATTGAGAGTCATTCGAATTCACTAGACCTCGCTAAGATTTAGAATTCGTTTTTTCTTTCTTTGAGAAGATTTTAATGCGATGTCTTTAAGTAAAGATATTTCTTCTCATGCGCATTTTTCATGCATGAGCTTTTCGCTTCTAATGAATTTGCTTAGTTTTTTCAACTTAAGAAGGGCAACTGAAAATCGTTTCATATTTTGGTGTGAATTGATAGGTTTCATTAGATCTTTCTAGATTCTAATGAATCTCGTAAGTTTGAAGATCCACCAAAACCTATCAAGGTTTTCTATCTGTCCATTTCTTTTTTTTTTTTTTTATAATCAAGACATAGAAGAAACGAACTTGAAGCACATAGTGCCCTCTATTAAATCAGTTTTAGCTTTCATCGTTGAAATTTCTGTTAAGATATAACAAATTTCAGCATGAAGAACTACAGTAAAAAAATAAATATCAAAACAATTTCTATAGAAGAAATAGGCTACCAAGGCGAGTACTATCGATCCTATTAAGCACCTCTTCTATAAAGTATCTTTGAGTGAATATTTCATCAGTCGAAAACATGCATGTTTTTAATGAAGAAAAAGAGAAGAGGTGTCCTACTTTCATTACCATTACGCAGTTTTTTCATGGATACCAATGTCCTTGATACTTTAAATGTAAATAATTAAAAAAAAATAATGCATCAACAATTCCAAAAGCTCTAAATTTTTGTATTGTATTCTTTTTCATTTATTTAGAAACCCTCAATATGAACTTTATTTAGAGTGTGTTTATTCTTTATGACGTATTGTATATATTTTTAGATAAATTATTTGTCTTTTTATAATCAACAAATGAGATATTTATCATTGAATGTTTTTCAATCGTAAGATATTATCGGCTAATTCCGACGAAAGAACAACAAATATTACTCATATCCTTCTTTTCAAATACTACTATTATTCATCCTTCGTAGGAGTGACTTATATTGCGTCATGTTCGATTTTTCCTCGGATCACTTATCCAAAAATAGTTTTGTTGTTATGTTAAGTGTAAGTATCTTTTTTTTCTTTTTAGGAAAACATTTAGATAATGATGAAAAGAAAATCACGAAGAAATAATAAAAGAAAAAGAAAACGTCTTTGGCTTTGAGCCGAACACAAAACGCATCACAAACGGGGCGCGTAACGACCAATTACAACTAAAGAGAAATTATAAAACAAATGAAATGCCTCATTGATTCAGTCAAGAATCTTCGGATCATTTTGTTTCTGTTTTTTTTATTTTAACTTGCAAATGTAGAATCTTCTCGATATCGTTCAGTTACTCTATCAGCTAATGTTATTAAGCTATCGAGCGATCCGAGAAGTCCAAAAAGATGATATTGAAGGTCATCTTTAATGGCATCAAATGATGCTGTACTCGATGATGTTGTACTTTGTTCAGATTCATCAGATGATACGCTTGATGCTGATGACGAAGGTTGTGTTGTATCACAACTAGCAATCAGTATTTCTTCATCGTCATTTGAATCTTTGATTTGTTGTTTATTTGAATTACTATCATTATCAATAAATGGACGTGATCGTGTTAGTTGATTTCGTATATCACGAACAAATGTATATAATTCATGCCAATTATTTGGTTGAACTGTATTATCAAGAACAACTTCTGAAAATAAATAACAAAAATAATTTAAAAATACAAAAACATAGTTCATGTAAATATTTTACCATCAACAGGCATATCTCTAAGTCTAGATGGTAACATAATTTCATCTTCCATAACTTTTGTAGCTTGAAAAAAATTATTCAATGCACCAGTAACAAGTGGTACAAAGAATGTTGATGGTGTATGTTGATTAAGTAAGTCATTGTTTGTTGTAATGTTTTGACGACGTTGATACATTATATTCTGATTTCGTCGTTGTATTGTACTAGTTGATGAAGATTGTCTAACTAATTTATTATTTATTTGTTGCTTTGAAAGTAGATTTGGTGAACTATTTTTTGATGTCATTGTTGATCTTGTAGAACTTTCTAACTTCATAATTGTTCAAACGAATCGAACCAATTGCAACAGTCGACTTATAAACACAGAGAAAAGGGAGAAACAAAGTGAAAAAAAAAATGAAGGTCTTCTTTTTTTCTTCTCTTTCTTGCACGCACAGTAGCGAAAAAGTACTACCAACTTCACCACTAACATATTAGTCGAAGGAAGAAAAGAAAGAAAGAAAGAAAGAAAGAAAAAAAATATACATGAAAACGGAGGGAGGGGAGAAAGAAAAAAAAAAGTACTCGTTTTGCTGTGTTAAGACAGCCTGTTATGTATATCATGCATCGAGCGAATGCTTTGTGAGTGATATTAGTTCTTCGGCTTTATTTTGATAGTATAGAAGAGCATTTTTTATTTCCCTCGAAAGATTTGTAGTGACACCAGAAAAAAAAGATAAAACTAAAGAAATTTTTCACTGTTAGAAGTAAAACCTGAATGAATGTGAAAATATGTGTTTTTCTTTTTATTGGGAACATATCAAATTGAAAGGCGTGAAATCAAAACTGGTTCGTTTTTTTTTTAATTATTTTTATGTTTGAAAATAAATATTTGTTTTTAACATAATATGTTCTTTGGTCTACATCAAATAGTAGGTGAAAGCGTTACTTATATTAATACGCCTTCGTTTTTCAAATGTTTTTATAAAACGAATAAAACTGCACCATCATCGATTTTCTCTATTTTTGCACGGACGTACTTCTTATCACATAAAAAGTTGATATTAACCAGCTGTTCTCCACCACACCTTCTTGAATCAAAATAAGCAAAACACATCTAGACTGGCGTATCCTATATTTTCGTTTTCTGTCACTCTCTCATCAGATGTTTATAGTGTGACCAAAACATACATTTAGTGCCAGATAATAACCGACATTCTTTTACATTTTTATTGTATCGAAATATCTTCTAAGGCTACGATGATAATACGAATTTTGTGCATCTAACTGTATTGATCTCTAGCTTGTTTTGCCCATCGATACGTATATACATCATCGATGCATGCTATTTAGAGCGTTGTTACGACAATTTTTTCGTTTACAATTAATTATGTCTGTGATCCAAAATTAGACACGCCCACTCACCATCCTACTGTGTTTTTGATTACAAGGTTGACAACGTGAAAAACCAAGGAAAAAAGAGTAGGCTCATGAAATCGCAATTATAACTGTATATATTAGGGCTCCACGTGGCATGGGGCAATTCTGTTCCATTGGTCCCACGAGATGCAACATTTATGAAAAATATTTCATGTGTCAGAATGGGACGGAAAATTTTCCGTATCATCCCACCCCACACAGAGTTCTGGTGTATGTGCATGTTTTAATTGCCTTGAAGTTAAGTATAATATATAAAAAACATTGGAGTCAACAGCAACAGAATATCGACAAAAGAACGCAAGAAAAAAAAAGTAATAAAGTTGTCAAAGGAAACAGGTGTTTCTACGGTAAACTGTTTGAAACAAAAAAAAAGAAGAAAATGAGATCATTACATAGTGATCTTTATTAATCATCAAAAAAAAACAAAAGCAACTCAAATAGGCTATGTCTTTAAAAGTATCTTCAAATAATAACAAAAAGGGTTGTTGTATTTATTGCAGATATATATACATAGTAAAAGATAAAGACCAAATAAAACAAACGTCTAAATGGGTGCATCAATGACAAGAGGCGATATAGAAAATTTAGCAACAGATTTTTATGGTCTTTTGGATTCATTTAAACATGCACCATTTTATCATATATCATTTGAAATTTTTCTTGTTTTGGCTGTTATTTGGCTTGTATTTTTTCGTAAGCCACGTCCAATTGAAAAAAAATTAACAGAAAAAGAAAAACAAGAATTAATTGATGAATGGCAACCTGAACCATTAGTACCACCAGTTGATCCTAATCATCCAGCATTAAATGTTCGAGTATTAGATGGTGTTGTTGGTAAAACAGTTGAAATTGATGGAAAAAAAAGTCTCAATTTTGCAACATTTAATTTTCTTAATTTTGTTGGTAATCAACGGATTGCTGACAAAGCAATACAAGCAGTACAAAAATATGGTGTTGGATCATGTGGACCACGAGGGTAAGTTTATTAAAAAAAATTTATTGAAGTTTGATTATTTAAGTTTATTTCTATCGATATCTATTGCTTAGTATATATATCATATATACAATAAAAATAGCAGAAATACATTATTCGATCATAGAAATGCTACGTAATAACAACTTGCAGAGGACAAAACATAATTTAACGTCGTAGTTGACTTAATTAGAAAGAATCTTTGCTCGGTTATTACAAACTGAGTTGCACTTTGATTCTATTCTGATAACCTAAAGGTGCACTTGAAATGAGAACTAAAAAAACGTGTTTGAAATGAAAAAAATAAATAACCCTAAAGTCGAGCTAACCTTTAGTTCATAATTTTGTTATTGTTGTTGTAATTGAAAAGTGTTTATACTACGCAAATAATATGAAAAACGAAATCATCTTGATTTTCATAGCATAACATCAAACGAAAAATTATTCGCATATTAAAAAACAACTTTATGGTTGGGTGAATCATGATATATTTTGTTTTAGTTTTTATGGTACAATTGATATTCATCTTGAGCTTGAAGAACGTTTAGCAAGATTTTTTCAATGTGAAGAAGGTATTATTTATTCATATGGATTTTCAACTATTGCTAGTATTATTCCAGGTAAAATACAAAAAAAATCGATTTTCTTTTGAAGAAAAAAAAAACAAAGAATTATTTATAAATTTTAGCTTATTCAAAACGCAATGACATATTATTTGTTGATGAAGGTGTTCATTATGCAATACAGAAAGGTGTTGAAGCATCACGTAGTCATGTCAAATGGTTTCGTCATAATGATATTAATGATCTTGAACGTTTATTAGCTGAACAAGAAGTACTTGATAAAAAAATTCCTAAAAAAGCTCGATCAATACGACGATTTCTTATTATTGAAGGTTTATATGTTAATTATGGTGATATATGTCCATTACCACGTATGGTTGAATTAAAATATAAATATAAATATCGTATATTTATGGATGAAAGTGTATCATTTGGTACAATAGGACAAACAGGTCGTGGTGTAACTGAATATTATAATATCGATCGACAAAAAATTGATTTAATATCATCAACATTAGAATATGCTGCTGGTTCCATAGGTGGTTTTGCTGTTGGTAGTTCATTTGTTGTTGATCATCAACGTTTATCAGCTCAAGGTTATTGTTTTTCAGCATCATTGCCACCATTACTTGCTGCAGCAGCTATTGAAGCTTTAAATATAATGGAAGAAGATAATACATTATTATTTGAAACAATTATGGAAAAAAGTAAACGTTTACATAAAAAATTATTATCAATTAAAGGTTATATTGTCAATGGTGATGAAATATCACCATTAAAACATTTACGTTTAACACATGCATTAAATACAATTGGACGTTTAGAAGAAATTGTTCAATTTGCTCAAACACGTGGTATAACAATAACTGTTGCACGATATTTAAATGATGAACATCTTTTACCTGAACCATCAATTCGTCTTATATTAAATGTTGAAATGACAGATGAAGAATTAGAATTTTTATGTACGGTTTTACAAGAAGCACTTGTTGAAGTAACAACTTAAATTTTTACATTTAAGATAATATGATCAAATTTGAACTCACATATAATTGATAGTTATCTGTTTGCTTGCTTGTTTGTTTGTTTTATTACACTTGTTTTTTTTTTTACAGAAATGAATAAAGAAAACAAAAGACATTCCTTCACCAATAATGATCAAATATTACTTTCATTATTCTTTTATTTAGAGATAAAATAATTATTTATCTAATGGCAAAGACAGATCTTCATGGGGTATTTTGTTTGATGTTGAGTGAGAGAGAGAGAAAGACAGAAAAAAAAATATACTGCATGGGTTTGATACGTTGCTATGCTTGAATGATTTTTATATTTGTTTTGTTTTGTTTTTTTTATTTTTTGTTCAAACAAAAAACAGAGTATTTCTTGGTTTGTATTCAATTTATTATTGATACACTCAATGGCAGATAAAACAATGACAAAAATTCTTATATTTGGTGGAAATGGATTTTTGGGTGGAGAAACAGTTGTGGAACTTTTAGCATTGAATACATTTGATATTACTGTTATTAATAGAGGCAATTGGAAAAATTATGATTCAAATATTCGTATTCGACCATTTGTTAAAACAATTAATATTGACAGGTGTGCATGTATGAATACTGATTTAATACAAGAAATAATCATCGATAATAGTCATTATTTTTTTTTATAGAGTACTTGCTCGATTTTGATGTTTTAAAAACATTCTAAAACATAGATGTACGGAACTGAAAATATTATAGTGAAATATTCTATGAATTTAAGCGAATCATCTTATAAACAAGTATTAAAGAATTTTTCAAGATACAATACGAATAAATTCTAGAATAGTTTTCTCATAAATTTGTATGATTGTCGTTATCTATACAATAATGAAGAGATGAAAGCAGGTTATGACCTGAATTTTTCACTATTGAAAATAACAAATATAAAATTTAATAAATATTCATGAATTTCGTTGATCTTTCGTAATAGAGTTTCAATATGACAATATGTATTTGTTATTATTGTCAGAAGTTTATGGGCCTTGTAGAATTTCCCATGAGAATCAACTAATATATTTATACTTAGAAAGGAAATGCACCGCATACCCCCTTAAGATTTCAACGACTTGTTTTTCGTATTGATATTACATGCTATTTTAAAAATATCTACTTGCTAAGGTTTGTATCCATGACATACGCAGTTTAAAAATTCTAAAACTTTTCATATATGCTAATATATGTGAAACTTTTGAATGTCGATGATTTCAAGAAAAAATTCAAAAACATGGTTTTTCAGAAAGATTAAGATCCTAAAAGATGTCTCAATAGAGACTCACATCCTTTT